CGCCGCGGGCGGCCTCTGGCATCGAGGGCCGGTACGAGGGTAGTGACGGCAGCGAGGTAGACTCCGCCCCAGAGGGGCAGCGCGTTGGCGACAACCCCAATACGCCGCTGCCGCGCGCCGCGGTGTTGATGTTGATATCGTGAAGGAAGACATTGGCCGCGACTGTGGCTCCGGCTTCTCTGCAGCTGAGGGCAAATCTTCTGGTCGTGATTTGGCGGGGACCCGCAACGCGATGCTTGTGGCGACACGAGCGACGGCTTCCCTGCAGATGCGTGCTGGGGCACGCTCCAGCAGGCCCGCTCTGTGTGCCAGGACTCCGGCTTGGGCACAAACATGCACAAACGGACACGTAGTGGTCTGGGAACATTGCGATTTGCAACATGTTTCGCAGCAGACATCACGACATGGGAATGAAATGGCCGCGGCCACGACCCGACGTTGTTCAGAGGTTTTCCCCACCAAGGCTCAGGCACGCGGTGTGCAACTGTGGCATCTTTATAATCTTTATAGCAGCTGCATCAAAAAGTCAACATAGGAAGACTCCGACGGCTGAGCGGGCTTCGCCTGTTTCCGTAAGGCTACTGAAAGGTGCCAGGGACAGGTTTGGGGGCATGAGCCTGCTTCCCAAGGTGTTCGAGGGAAGCCTAGGCTGAACGTTCTCCAAACCGAATTCGTCCACCATGTATGATCGCGAATTTTTGTACATAATCTTAAGAATTGCGATGGGGCACCAGTGGTTATATGCCATGATTGAATTGCCGGGCCTGGTTAACTTTGAAACGAGAAAGAATGCCGCTTTGGAGATTCCAGAATTCCCTACAAACATGCGGCTGCAAATCTCAAGCGAGCATCAGGGAGTTCACTGCCCGCTTGATCATCAACAATTTTGCGGCTGCGCTGGCGAGGGGCGGGCCCTCTTCGGAGTCAGCGAGGAGGTAACAAGTAAACGATGCACCCCGAACCTGGTGGCTAATTGTTGGGGAAACACGTCCGCTCGTCAGGCAAAACGAGCCTGTTCATTCCGAAAGGTTGCTCCGCGACAAGCCAAAGTTCGCGAGCTTGTCGCGTGTCTGCAGTGTACATCACCGGCATGCAGCCTGTCACACCATTAACACAGGCGCAAAGCGTGTCGTGCGGCGTTGTTCAGGCAGTCCGTCCGTCACCCCAAAACTCCAGGTGCTGCGTGTGACTGGCAGAAATGGTCAAGGAGCTGCCCGCGATGCGCTTCGTGCAAAGACTATCCGGTCTTGTTAGGGCCGGGCCAGACCAGAGGGCGTGATGGAGTATGGCAAGGTCGGCAACTGTGTTCTGTCGCGATGCCTCGCTGACGTAAAGAGCCCTTCGCACGATGTCTACATGATCCAAGCTTCAGACAGCTCAGTCCTTCACGGTGAACAACGCTTCAAGCACCCTCCCGGCAGAAACACATGATGTGTCCAAGATGCACAGGTACCGTGTGGCGGGAATGCACACGCGATCAGCACCGCGAAGCTCTTCGTGGGTCGTCGTCGACTCGACTCTACTTTGGCGCGCGGTCAAGGGTTAACAAGGCGTCCAGAGCTGAAGCACAAATTGCAGTTCATTGAATGTTGCAGAAGATCCGACCTCCGCTGCAAGCGTGACTGACTCGGCAAGCCACGCAATTGCGAAAAGCCCCGGCCGAAACCGATAACACATATCCTCTTTTGTTGCATCGCTCTCCAATGAATGCATATAAGACAAAAACTGCATGAGCAGGTCGAACGTCGTGCTGTGGAGTGACAATGCTACAAGTGCCACTTTGTGCACCAAGCTACACTCTTCAGGCCAGTGTCAGCTGCATGGAAATCGAATCTTCGCAACGGGCCGCAGCTGACCACACATGCTGGCCGTCAGAAAGCCATCCTTGACAGGAAAGGCGGAGATGCAGATTGCGGGGCAAGGCACCGATCTGACAATGCTTTTAAAGCACAAACTCAGGATAGACCTAAGCCAGCATCTCAACCTCTTCTTTAGATATCGACCTGCACATAAATCCCTGGAAACATCGAAGGCAGTATCAGATGGTTGTCATGCCACACCTCCACGACATGCGGATACCTGCGGTCCTGCGGTGTTCCCTGAGGTTAGACAGTATGCAAAACGGAGAAGAAAGCCTAAACCCTAAACCCCTAAATCCTGCACCCCTAAACCCTAAACTGAACCCCTAAACCAATCCCTGAACCCGAAACCGCCCCTATGTTTTCTATCATCCGATCATCCCCAATCCTGCCAATCCAAAGCCCACAGCTACTCTTTTGCCCTACCTTGACCTACTTTCTGTAGGGTCCCTATAAGGGCCCCATAACTTCCATATTAGGGTCTACAATAATAACCTGGAAAAACTATAGGTTGTACTAGTTTAAGATAAACCATAAGGCTCCCAACACCCAGATTCCCAGTGCTTCTGGCTGCCTCCGCGTGGGTTTGCGAGGGACAGCAAGTCGAAGAACCCAGAGTTGCGGGCCGTTCCTCAGCTAGGGTGCTATCAAGTTCTGCCTGTGTGGTTTTCTTGGGGAACTAGGGGGTTTAGAACCATTAGGGAATTCTAGAGGATATACTACCGCAAGACGCCTAAAGGCTATGGTAAAACCGACTCGGGGTTCCTGAGCATTCGAAGCGTCGGGATGGGGATAGTGTTGCAAGGCTTCGAGGCTCCAACAAGGGTTTAAGTGTTGGGGTTTTGGGGCGTATAGCTCTTACGAGGCTTATAATGCTTTTGATATAATTTTTCAGGCTGTCAAAGCCCAGAAGCTTTCTCTGAAGGAAGGAAGCGTCATAACGAAAACACGTCGGAGGAGCCTGATGTAGGGGCCGTTTTAATCAGATTGGGGCTTTCAAACAGGGTATAGCATCGTATACATGATTGTAAGCTATAAGAGAGGGACTAAGGATTTTCTAGAGTCATTATTATGCAGGCCCAAGCATTTAAACGCCACTAGAAGCCAGAGGCTCACTTTGAAGCTGTGTGCGCTGGCAAAAGACAACATCCACGGCGGGCTGAAAGTAGGTCCACGCCAGCAGCAGCAACAGCAGCAAGCTGTAAATGTTGCATCATGTTGGTGCAGAAGTCACCACAATAATCTGGTATTGGTTTAGTGCTCATTGTTATTGAGAACAAACAGCCTTTAACCACAAGAAGCATGATCGGAGCAGGAGCAGGAGGAGTAGTAGCAAGGAGCCTTCTCTCTGATACTTCAAACCAAGCGGGAGGAGGTGCTTCAGGCTTCCTCCCTTTATAACCCCTGATCTCCACCCCTAATTTCCAGTTTCATACGATGAACCCCCAATCACCGAAAAGATCCAGAAACTGCAGCCCTGCTTTGAGACTCCCCACGGCCAACGCTGCCCTGAGAACGTCTCTGCGCGGCAGAAATAGTCGTCGTAGCAATGATAGCAAGAGATGAAGAGTAGATAGCGAGGCTAGGAAAAGCACCATTAGCCTGTGTACATGTGCAGTTTTTGACATGTTTCGACAAGGGTACGAGTAATATGGAATCACTTGCAACAGGAACACGCCTAATAAGTCGCAAAGTGGTAGCAACAAGAATCGTAGTGTCGGAACTACACAAGGTCAACGCACACACGGTCACACCCTGTACACAAACTGGGCAGCTGCGAAGAAGAAAACTACAGTCAAGGCTCCAGTGGCTGCCTCCGGTGAGCGAAAGTTCGGACTCCACAGCCAGGAGCACCAGGAAGGTGTTGTTGCTGACGCCGGCCACATCCGCATGCCGCCACATCCGTGTCACACAAGCCTCTTGACAAAGTGAAGCTTCTTCTTTACGTCATCATTCTTCTGTGGCAGCCGCCTTCAGATTCCTTGGTGCATGAGATTGAAGCGAGAGGCACATGTTTGCTGGCTGTTTGCATGGCGAATGCTTGGCACAGTGTTTGGCTCGTGCCCGTCCCTCAACAATGGGGCAGGAATTTGGAAACAGGGAAACGGTGCTGCTCGTACGATGGTTTCGAAGCAATGCTTGTTCGCTCCGTCCGAATAGAATGAGGCCTGACAAGTGTGCTCAATGACTCTTCGTACCCATCCGGAAACATACTGCTGATGGACAAACCCCCAGTGCTTGCAATTTATGGAAATTGTGTCGTACTCCTTACTGTGGACAAAGCCCGAAACCCCCTAAAAGCTCGGCTGATCCAACCCCAAATGCCTCAACCGCAGTTAATCCTCTAAACTCCTAAACCCCTGAGATCCTTTAAGCCATGCCTGCTATAATCCACCCAAAAAGGAAACTCGAGGTTTCCATCCCTCTAACCCGGATGCCCCTCACCCAAGGTCCTGACCCGGCTGTATTCACCATGGCAGACATGACTGCCGGATCGGTCTTCTCCAGGACGTACTCCACGAACCTGGGAGATATGGAGGGTGTCCGAGTCCCTATAAAGCCTGTGAGGCCTTAGGGTCCATATAGGCTTTGTAGTGCTTTAGGGTTTAAAGTTCAAGTTTTGAGGGTTTCGAAAACCTGCGGGAAGTCGAGTCTGCGATCGCAGAACAAGAGGTTTTCATCTTGCTGACCGGCCCAGGGTTTGCATCTCTGCTCCTTTTGCTAAGCTCCGCGCTGCTCTTGCCCGTCTCCGGGATAGTAGGGCATTTGCCCCTTGTACTTCCTCACGACGATGAGCAAGCTAATTAGAATAGGGGTTGGGGGCACATTCTACTAGATCTTTTTTGAGGAGCCCTAAGGCCCTAAGGAATACCTTTGGCCATCATATAAGCTTCAAGATTATGCTCCAAGAACACAGCCCGGAGCAGATGAGCAAAGTCAGGTCCTCACAAAGTAGAAGGTGTACAGCGGGTACAAGAGCCTGGGTGGATGGCGGCACTGCGTTCCATCTGACCAACACTTTAACAAAGAGCATGGTGCGTTTGTAATAAAATTTAACGACTGATCACATCGTTTCTCTTATATAGAACGTACTGCGTAGAGTATAGGGTTCAAGTCTCTCAACATCTTGCTATGAAGGAAAGCTCCATCGATGCCCAAAGGTCGAGCATCTGCCAGCGGCTCGAAACCCTGTGGCGTAGGGTTGTTTCTTACTAGTCACCAGTGTCTCCCGAACATCTGAAAATGTTACAATGACAAACTTTCAAAACGAACATTGCGGACAATCACCAAAACGGATATGTAAACCCTGGTATGCGGGACAGCTCTCTCATATCGGGGCCTGAGCCAATCTAACAGGGTTGTAGGGTCTAGTGTGCTTCTCAAATTAACTACGGGCGGATACTGCGACGGTCATTTCAGTCTTTTCAGGCCCGCGTTTTGGGGACCCCCGCTCAAAGCAACCGGAGCCATAATAAGGCGGCCCTAACAATCCGAAAAGACGTTAGGGTAGAATCTACAGTAACATGACTACAAGAGACTGTATAAGGGAACACTACCAGTGTTAGCAAGCTTTCCGATCCCTACCTCAGACTCGACACGCTTAACCTTCCGTTACACCACCCAGATGCTCCGCTGAGCCACAGTAAGGAAGCCGAAGCAGCACCGATGGCACCCAACCTCAGGACCAAGTTGTTTAGGATCAGATAAATGTTTCTGAGATGTGTGGGTAGGACTTTCAGAAGTCTAGCGTTTAAGACTCACAAGACTTAGCATGTATGAGGCTCAAGGTTTACAGGACTGGGCGTGTTTACCAGGTTCGTGGCTTCAACGACTAGGTTCGCGGATCTTATGTGGAGCCATTTCGTCCGGGGGTTCGGTAGAAGGGTTTAGGGTTTAGGGACTACCCCAAGGTAGTTTTGCTAGAAAGGAGATCGAGATGGCTCTTGCACACCACCGCCACCACCAGCACCGCCAAGACGAATATGACGACGACGAGTACGAGGACAAGCACAAGCACGACAGTTCTAGTAGTGGACGCATGACGACTGCTAGCTGCTGCTCTCCACGGTTGCTTCTACAACTGGCTACCCAGGCGCCCGGCAGCCAAGGGTCCAGGAATGGGGTCGGCGCCGGCTGTGGGCCGGGAGGGTAAAGCCTCAGTGGCGATGGTTCTTTGGGTTTCCGGTCTGGCATAGTGGTGTTTTGGCTTCAGAGGTCTAAGGTTGTGAGATACAGGTTTAGGGTTCTGGGTTGAATTAGGCTTCATAGCCCTAGGTTTGCTGGACGTACTTGTGACACAGCCAAAGGAAGAAGTCACAGTCACAGCGTTACTGGGCTGAGGTCTTCGCTGGGATTGCGTCATGATGCGAATCTCGTCCACAGGAACAGGAAGCGAAGCAAACCAGTCATCGATGCTGAACCTCGGTCACAGGGTACACCGTACACCCTCAATTCATCTCTCAACCCTGATACTGTAGAAGCTCCATGCACGACTGGGCCCCACTATCCTCAAGACGCAACCCTGACAGCCAAGCGGTCTGCCACTCCTCTGGCTCGTCGTGCTGTACGAAGGGGTTCTCCACCTGCGACGGGCAAACCCTGGTGAGGAACCTCTGCCTGCACCACTTCACAGGCCTCTTCCATGAAGCTTCAGCCAGCGGTCTTAATAACTAGAATAGGGTTTTTGGGTAAATCATACTATAACTGTAACTGGTTCTTTTAGGCCCCTTTATTAACTCCGAAACTTCCTAAACTCCGAGTTCTGCGCCCGGCCTCGAGAAAGAAGAACACGCCGAGGCCCCCCTTTGCAGACTCCCACTTGTGGAATCTGACGTCCTGCAGATGCCATCATCTCCGGTTGCGAGAGGAAGTAGCTTCCTACATGCTTGCCGGTATTACCCTCCCCCCAATTGGGATAATGATACCTCGGCTGCCTCATTGTGAACCTATACTATAATATTACTACAAATTACTATATCTATACATAAGAATATGCTTTAATCTAACATAATATACTGTTACATACTACACATATGCTCTACATGTACTATAGTATCATATACGATTCTACACAACCTCAGTACGCAGCCCCAGGACCCTTTGGGTCGAAACTCGAAACCCCAAGGGCCGCAGGCTCCTGCGGCGACACTGCGAGCGTCTCTGCGGACTTGAAGAGCACCTCCTTCAACCTTCAGCTGTGGGTTTTTAGGTTTTTAGGGGCTTAGGATGGTTTAGGGGTTTAGGGGCTTAGGGTGGCTTAGGGGTTAGGGGGCTTAGGGGTTTAGGGGTTTATGGGCTTAGGGATTTAGGGGCTTAGGGGTTTGGGGTTTATGGGCTTAGGGCTTTGGAGTTTAGGGGCTTAGGGTGGTTAAGGGGTTTAGGGGTCTAGGGTTTAGGGGTTGAGAGTTTAGGGGTTTAGGGTTTAGGGGTTTATGGGTTTAGGGTTCGAGGCTCAGGACTTAGGCTTTAAGGGTTTAGGGTTCAGCGGTTCTGTGGCGTTTGTGATACGTATGTCGCTGATATGCTTGTGGCACCTTCTAAAGGCATCTTCATGACATGCGCGAAATAGCAATATACCATATTATGCATGCACATCGCTGTAGATCCGTATCTATGTGGGTATATATATATACACATATATATATATATGTGTGTGTATATATATATGTGTGTGTACAGAGACACACACACACACATGTACATAATTGAAGCACAAACATAGACATACGTCAGTGTGTGTGTATATATATATACATATATATATATACACGTACGCACACACATCCATACAGAGAGGTCCATATTGAAATGTCTATGTCTTTAAACAAATACACAAGTAGTAAGCATGTAAAACGGGCAAACCGTTAAACCGACAAGTTCTGTATTGTGTCAATGTAGATACACGTGCAATTATGCATAATATACAGATGCGCGTTTAAGGGCCAAGTCAACGAAGAAGTAAGTAGATAAAAGTGCAGTTGTACGTGTGCTTGTAGGGGTGTGTGTGTGTGTCTACTACACATGTACGTGTATGTTCTTAGTGTACTCCATGACTCCACCCATGTTTGTCTCAACTTAGCCATAGGCTCCTTAGTAGTTCCTTTTTGGGATTGTCTTATAGGATCCTAACTTACCAACCCCAAAAGGGAACTACTAAGGAGCCTTTGGGTATCGCCTTCGCAGACGGGCAAAGACTGCTGCGTGGTGCCGGGAGCCCACGCGTGTCTGAGCTGTCCATGAAGTCTTCCACGGAGATCCGGAGGGTGAGTCTCAAATAAAATCCTGGTGTAGTTTAAGTTTAGGTCTTTAGGGCTTTCGGGTTCCTAATAGGGGGTTCTGAAAGGGCTATGGGACTCAAGATGGCGTACGGGCTTAGGACTGGAATGGGATGAGGCTCAACGAGAATGAAGGGTAGATGTTGTCTTGCTGGTGTTTTGCTTAGGGTGCAGGGTTACTGCTTGCTGGGGAGCAGACGGCTAAAACATTCAAAATTGCCAGGGTCTTCGAGCAAGACCCTGGGTGGCGGTTTATTTGAAGACCAAAAGCAAAGTTAAATGGGAGTCCTTTGTGAGAACTCCTCACTTTCGAGAAGGAACTCTGTCGTGTTGGAAGATTGCAACTACAAGAGCAAGGCATCTTCTGCGGAAGCTTTAGTGTTTAGAGTCTGGGGTTCAACCCCAACGTTTAGGTTTTGCGGCTTCCGAAATGAACAGAGTGGCCACCCATCACTGTAGGACTGTCGGAGTCATACATAGGGTGGGGAGTGTTCTGTGCCCTCCATTTCAGTATTCCTACATTCACAAAGCCCTGTAGGAAATCCTAAAGGGAATCCTAGACTCTTTTAGCCCAAAGACCAAAGACCTACATCCTAAAGCTCTTGTAAAGCCTGCTCCAAAGACCTATCACACCTGAGCCTGAGCCCTGCAACCAAATCCTACATGTGCACGCAGAACCCCGGGACCCTTAGCCCCATAATCCCTCAATCCTCAACCCGAAGGCAGTAAGCAATACCGATAAATGCCCTTCTGCCAAAACTACCAATCCCTCAGGGTACCCATATAGTGCATACTTTGGCCCTGAAGTACCTACATAGGGACTGCAGCAGCAAGGCCAAAGCATGTACTAAATTTGGGTACAGGGAACCCTTTAGTAGGAATTCCTCAGTCCCAGACCCAAAACCCCCCCCCCCCTCCTCCCGGCCCCATGGCTTCAGCTCCAGTTCGGAAAACGACCTCGAGCTGAGGGCAGGGCTTTCCACTTCCGTGCCAGCGGGAGCCTGGGAACGGTTCCTATAACCATAGGGGTTTAGAGGTTTAGGGTGTAGGGGTTTAGGGGTTTAGGGGTTTATGGGTTTAGGGATAGGGACTTATGAGGTCCTTTATTACTGGTACTAAGGCCCCCTATACCCCCCTCCCGCTTACGCCCTAAGGGTCCTCATGACATAAGGGTTTAGGGTTTAGGGTCAGGGTTTGAGAGAATCCGCCTTGCTTGACATACCTGCATCATTATCATTCGCAGTAGCATCCGCTTCTTGCAGCTGCTCTGCTTCTCTGGTCGTCAGTGACGATGACGGTTAGTATCTTTATTGACTTCGTCACAGTGTTCATGCCTCCATGTCTTCGCCATCACGACCAGTCCTTCTTCGCCACTACTGAGCAGTGTTCTTCTCATCTTGACGGACAGCGGTACACATGGATATTAGCCCATTCAAAGACCCAACAGCATTGCTTTTAGCGACCACGACGGCACTTCCAAAACCGAGCAACCATGACGCGCACCACTGCCAAGAGCCGCCGCGGTCACCATGATAGGTCAGCTTCCAAGAGACGGCCCACCACGA